AATCATTCTCTTGATTTTAATAACTAAGCAAGCCCACGAATATTTAGTAAAATGATTTGGGATTAAACCTATTTTTGAAAACTCCACATTTTAGGTCACAAAAATCAAAATCAACATAGTCAATACCATCCCACATAATCACCACAATTCAACATAAGCAACATGATTCAACTCAACATCATTAAATATAATTCAACATAATTCAAGAGGAATTCTTAAAATCCATTTCAACATTCCATAACCGAGTTTATGCCATCTATATCATTAATAAATCATTTCTCCCAATTTCCTTCTCATTATAACATGATTTGCATTGCTCATAACAAAATTCATTCTCAAATTTTAAACATAATTTTCAAACATAACCAAATTCCAATTAAACTTGTACATATATAATTCAACCTACCCATTTCATGATTCAACTTTCAATTTGGGCCAAATCATTGGTTATCATCAAAAATCAACCTAGGGTTTCAAGAAAAACCTAGAAATTTCAAGAAAAATCCGAATTTCTTAACCCATTATTTTTTTGTTCCAATCTTCCCATTTATTATACACCCTAGGTCCATAATCCATAAACCATAATCTAAACCCCATAATAGAACCCCAACATTGCAAACCCTAACCCCAAAATTTCAAGATTTACACTATATGCTCACAATGTAGATTTTGCATTTATATACTCCAAAATACCACAAATCTATCTATTAATGTAAGCATTGAAGGAGAACTAGGATCCCTACCTCAAGATTCAAGAAAGAAAAGCAAGCTTTGATGAGGTTCCTCCAAAATTTCAAAATCCCAATTGGTAGAAAATGCTGATCTTCTCTTGTTCTCCATCTTTGATGCAAGAACCATGGTGGATTGTTGATAAAAGTGGAGGAAATCAAGGTTTTGGGAGCTATGGTTTCAGACATGGAGGAGGGAAGAAGAAGAGAGGAAAATAAAATGTAAGAAATGGTCCAAAAATCACGTTTTTGAGCTGCTGTCCCGCACAACCCGCACGTGCAACGCTATTCCCCACACGTGCGGCTCTGCTTCCAACACAGATGTAAAAACTTCAAATAGGTATAACTCTCTCATCGGGACTCCGTTTTAGGTCGTTCTTGTGTCCAAATTGAAACCCCGGAAATAAGCTTTCCAATGGTTCCAACCTCACATTCAAATTCTAAGTATGGAAGGAGAAAAGGGAAAAAGAGTGACGGCTGGTCAAAAATTCAAACTCAAATTTGGGACTTTTTGTCTAATCTTATCTATATATCTTGTTAAGGCTTCAATCAAGGTTCCAAACATCATCCAACGGTCCTCAATTATAATATTTAAAATTCACTTACCAACCCATCAATATCAATAGTCCAACCACCATACAAGTTTTAAGGTGACAGGCACCAATATGCATCAATCCAATGTGAATTTAAAATCCAAGTCATTATAAAACTAGTCTCAAAGATTGGTGTGGAAGTGCAAACACGTTTACCAGATCCAAGTGTTCGTAGGTGGAAGTATGTTGATGCCTCCATTAAGGAGACGATGTTTCAACGCTTGAATGTAAGTTCGTTGTCTACTCTATTATTGGAGATTTTACTCATTTTTATAATAGGTTAGAAATCTTAATTATTTATTGTAATTATTTTATTTTTATAGGAATTATCTATGACTTATGTATTTTTTGCAAGATCAATTTGATTTACAAGGAGACCCTGTTGATATAAAGAAGGCAATGCACACAAAATTTGGTCGGAGATTGAGTAACCATACCTATAGGCTACACAAACAATTCATGGAACTGAAGGAGGCTAACAGGGCGCGGGAGGGGGGGGAGTATGCAAGAAAGCACCCACCGAAGGATGTTGATCCTACCAAGTGGATAGATCTTATTGATAAAAAGTGGAATACTAAAGAATTTCTGGTAACATTTTTATCTTTTTTATTATATCAGTGTTGATTAGAATAGGGAGAGATTCCAAAAAAAAAACTAGAAAGAACACAATCAATTTGTTGTGAAATTCCATATGTATACTTTTCCCTTTATCTTCTAGGCATGTAAGTGGAACATAATAAAAACTAAATAAGTGGGAAAATGAGAAAGGGAAACTATTAAATAGGGATTGGAAGGCTCACATAATAGGAGATTAATTTATGGTTCCTTAAAGTGCATCTTTCACATCATAGAATAAAGAACTAAGATTTCAGTTTCTATGATTGTATTTTCTATTTGTTCTTGGGTTTGGTTTGAAATTTCATGATAATGGTAAGCAACTAGCTGAGTAACCAATATAGGGTATTGAAACAGAACTTTAGATTTGATAGAGTTGTGGAAGAAAGAAATGGTTATGAGTTTGGTATCAATAATTGTTCCATATCTTGTGAAATGTAAATGAATTTTTTCACAATCTATCTTGTCCATGCTTATATGCCCCCCTATTTGTGAACGGTGTATATTACTCATTTTTCTTCTTTCACCCAGAAAAACCATCTTATGATGAAATCTCAACAAGTCCTCTAATCTATTTTTCAAAGAATTGAATGAAACTAGTGAATAATTTGAAATATCTTCTAAGTTGAAATGATATATAAGAAAAGGATAGAGAGGAACAATGCAATTTCTTTATTATCAAGCATTACATTTGTTTTACTAGTGATACATTTCATTGTTATATTGGTTCATTCTTCCTTACAGGAGCAATCAAAAGCCAACATATTTGTCTTACTAATGATACATTTCATTATTGGTCATTCTTCCTTATAGGAACAATCAAAGGCCAACATCGCGAATAGAGAAAAGATGTATACAAAACATAGGTGTGGTTCTAGGTTAATCCCTGTTAGAGTAGAAAAACTGGTACGTATCCTTGCACTTTAAAAATTATATTAGATTCTTAGTTTTATTTATTGAATATTTGGTCTATCAAATTAGACACGAGAAAAGAAGATGCTACCTAATCTAGCAGAGTTTTACAAGGAAACTCACTATAATGAGAAAACACATGAGTGGATCTCGTCTAAAGCTCAGTGTAATTATGTGAGTATATATTGCAATTTTTATTAACAAAATTTTAGAATACTATTTGTTATAATCTTATTTAATTTTCTAATAATTATTTAATTTTTTAATATTTAATAGGAAAATATGATATAGACATGGGCTGATCACCTCTCACAACCGGGATCAACCCCTTTGACTGCAGATGAGCTGTCAATCAAAGTCCTAAAGCCAAGGTTTGGCTATGTGAAGAAACTTGGCATGAGACTTTTATCCTCTATTAGGAGGACCACTACCATATATGTTGAAACAAATGATTATGTGAAGCGCCTTGAGATGCAAATAGAGATACAAAAGGAACAAATACAAATGCAGAACAATAAAATATAAGATCTTGAAGAGGGTAGGAATAAGCAAGGGGAGATAATGGCTGATGTTGTTAACTTTTTGAGAACCAAAGGATTCACTGGACACTTTGAAAGTGGAGGGGACTCATCCACAAGTGGACATACTTCTTAGTAAAGTATATTAACTTTAATATGACAAATTTTATAAAAGAATATATATTTAAAGAATTAGGAAGTAAAGAAAACATGCATAGGACACCCAATTTGTACAGGTGCACGAGATGTATAAATTGTGAATTAGTCTAAAAAATATATTGCTTCAAAAAAAGGCCGTCGAAAGGCTAAATTATCACACAACTACAGATTTGTACAGGAACCAACAAAAATACCTTAAGGGGGACCAATATAAGTTGTATGAACTTATGGCACATTAATGGGATGCGCCATTTGTGAATTAGCCTTAAAATTAATTTTTTGTTCTCATAGTCTCGAAAAAAAAGTCTGTTAGAGGAATAAATTGTATAATTGATCTAATTGTAAATTGATGAATTACTAATGTTTTTAATTTTTTGTATAATTGATTAATTACTAAAGCTTTTAATTTATTGTTTTGCATATTGGATTGGGGTGGCATTTTTGACATGCAACAATGATGTAATTTGCTTGAATGTTTATTTTTGTTTGATAAGTATACACATACTTTGTGGAGTTACACTAGTTATTGTTGGATGTTTGGTGGAATTGCACAAGTTAGAACTTTTAGATATTTTGTGGATATTGCACTATTTTATTGTATTAGGATGAAATTATTTGTAATGATGAATGGATATTTTTATTTTGTTAATTCATAAATGTGTTGATAACAGGTTAGGTTAAGTTATGATGGCATTGTTATATTCAACAGATTTCAACATGAACAGGGTTATATTTGTTGAACTAAAATTCAGATTTTGATAAAATAGATATAGAATGTGGAAAAAAATATTATGGAATTAGTGACAAAATTTTCCATCACTAAAGAAGGTTTTTTTCGTCTCTTATTTGGCTTAGATGGATGATTAATTTTTTCATAAATTCTTTATTTTGTCGCTAAATGAATTTATCATGACGAAAAATATTGTCACATTTTGTCACTGTTACCCTTAATGCACTACAACAAAACTGGGTTTTCACGACACCACATCAATGACATACAATAAATGCACGCCGTGGTTTCTCACTTTTACGACTTGCTTTTTTTGCACGTCGTAAATAATTTTCCAATCACAGCATGTCTATTGCGTAGGCCGTGAATGGTAGTAACAATGATTTTTTTACGGCTTGCAATGTTTGTCGTAAATAATAAAACTTTCTATGACATGCATATGGCATGCCGTTAATAGATCAACTATACATGACACACGTACGCCAGCCGTGAAATGTATTGCACTTTTCACAGCGCATATGACGCCTGCCATTAAAAGTAATGCGCTTTTGACGACGCACACATCGCCTGCCGTTAAAAATATTACCTTTTTACGACACACAATGCATGTCGTGAAAGGTACGACCAAAAAAAAAATAGCGCCAAAATAAATTTTTCTGGCGCCAATTCTCCAAAAAATAAAAAAGATAATAATTAAAAGCCCCAATTCTCAACCCTAACACACAAAATCAACCTGAGTTGGTCTCAAAACTATTCAATTGCAAGTCAATACCAACCTTGGCTTTAACCTTCAACCTAACCTTCAAAACCCACCACAAAACTCCATTTTCTTCATCATCATCCTCGCCGTCGAGACTAGTCCCCAAGCCCGATCTCTCCCAAATCGGCTTCTTCCTTTGCTCTCGTGATTTCTGGCTTCACGTCCTCGAACAGATCGTCAAGGGCGATCTCAAATGCCCTCTCAAATCTGATTTCATCAAACTCATCGTCACCTTCGACAAATTCCAAACCTCCAATTTTTACTTCTCCAAAATTAGTCTCACCAATCCCAATCTATTAACTCACCTCTTCGGCAATTGTATCCCCGATCTCGAAATCTCCATGAATGTTCGATCTGAAATGCACAACATCGACTCCAGATCCAATCGTCGTGACTACTTGTCCATTGGTAAAAATAAAGAGAGGCTTCGAAGGGGAGGGGTTTCAAGCGGTGCTCTCTCTCTCTCTCTCTCTCTCTCTAATCACCTCACTCTCATTCTCTCTTTCATATGTCCCACCACACCACCAATTTCTTGGGTTTATACATCTCGGTGTGGCAAATCGACCCAATTGATAGTTCTGAGAAGCCATGAATGAAAAGACACCACTCGTTGCTCGATTTCTGATGCATCTGAGGTCGAATTCGAAAATTTCAGGTTAGTGATGGTGTTTTTGCTTTTAAAAATCTGTTTGGTTGTCAAGAAAATAATGATATGTACAAGTTTAATGCTTCTTATCTCTGGCAGAATTGAAGGATTTGGTGCTTTTGACAGATAAACATGATTCGTAGGAGACAACCCAAGATAGAAATTTGAGAAGGAAACTTTTGTCTTCTGATGAATCGAGTGCTTTGACTAAAAAGGTTCTTATCATAATTTTTCATAACTATTAGATTAATGGGAATTTTTGGTTTAAGTCATTGCTGAGTGAAGGTTGTGTCTTCCATTGTTTGTTTGCAAGAAATTGGTTTTCCTGCTAAACTTACATGTACTTGTGTAATTTTTTTTTCTTTCCTAGCAATTTCTTGTTTGAACTTCTAGATCATGTTTTTGAACTTGGTTCTCTTTGTTCCCATTGTCAATTTTCTTTTTCCTTAAGTATTGTATGGTGTTTGTAAATAGAAATTAGTTAATTAATTTACCCATTTGATGTAACTTTTGAATCATGTACTTAGCTTGTACAAGAAGACATAGGAAATATTGAATGGTAACTGAAACAAAATGCACACTATAGTGGAAGAAAAAAGGATTGGTGTATTGATTGTTTAACAAAATCAATATTCAGTAAGTTGTAGTCACGACCCAAACCTGCCCCTATAGGCTTAGCATCGTAACCGACCAGTAATCCGTGATTACCGAAGGCTTGTTTAACAATAATGACAATAATACAATATATAGGGGTTGGCGAAAGCCAAACAATAATAATTCACATCGTCCAAAGAGCTGTAAAGACTTAGATGGAAATAAACTTTAATGCACATAACCATATCCGTAACAACTTATGCCAAAAATACATATACAAGATAACATGCAAGTTAGAGGCATAATCCCCTCATCAAAGTGTACAGCCAAAAGTCTTGGACATTCATTACACTTAGCAAAAAAAGTGGATAGAGTCACCCAAAAAGCCTTGACTCGTATAGGTTCGGAACCTCGATATGAGGCACAATGGCTGGCTTGACAAAACATGAGCTTGGGTCGGTGCTTCTAGCTTTGGTCCGGTGCTTGGCCACCTACATATATATAATAAATTGTGAGCTATAACCCAGTGAATAACAAATGTGTAAAGAGTTTAGGAATGATGTCCTTCAATTTTTAAAACAATCGATTAGTATTAGAACATTTCAATCAATATCACTTGTCGAGCTATCGTCCGATTTTATCAATTCAATCAATCGATAATTATATAAGTCATACGTGGTACATCAGATAGCAACAATACACTTGGTCTTAAAAGACCGAACAATCAATTGATGGCCATCATACAATAACAATAGTTCCCAGATTTGAAACTGATAGAGATCTCTGTAGCAATAACGATATCAATCACAATAACAATCACAATACGCTATGGATGCCACAAATACAATTCAAAATAGGATCATCATTCAATCGATAAAAAGTATTGTTTTAGGAAGCAATATGATTTATCAAACTGTAAATAAATACGATTGAATATATCTTTACAACATTGTTACTCACTGGGCTCCTCGATACGCAAACGATACGGCCTAAGCTATGGCATCCGACCTAACAAACAAAATTAAGCACGCAGTTCAATTTCACCCATTTCGGATTCAATCACTTATATTTCTATTCGCTTGGTTATTATTCCGTTAACTTCTATTCATTGTTCACTCATTTGATTCTAACTTCATTCATGCATTCAAATGCAGACATGAGATGTAAATGATCATGAAAACCTTTAAAAACTATGCAAACGGAGGCCCGGAAAAGGAAAAAGTGAAGCGAAGAACAAAACTGAAACTACCGTGATGGCCGCACGTGCGGTTGCCTTGGCCGCTCGTGCGGTGGGTTTGGCCGCACGAGCGGTAGAAAACAGTGTGCATTCTTGGGTGTTTGAAGGTGGACCGCTCGTGCGGGGGCCCAATCCGCTCGAGCGGTCTGGGCTGAAAAAGAAGTTCGAAATCTACACTGTTTTGATACATGAAGCCAAGTAATTTCAACCCTTAATTCAACTGATTCAAGTCCCAAAAACATGCAAGAGCCCAATAAAATGCACATGCTAAACTCCAAGCAAGATTTATGGCTCAACTTGAAGCTCAAATCCAAGAAAATAAAGCCCAAGCTCTTGAAATTTATAACAAAATAAAAAATACATAATCAAGCATTTCAAAGCTTTAAGTTGTATAAATCATGAGAAAGTTCTTTCAAACTTATGGAGATCATGAAAAAACTAAATGAATGAAATCAAATGTTCATGACAATGTCATGCATGATGGAATTAAAAACAAATAATTCATTAGCCCTTCTTAAGAAGCCATGCATGTAGTTAACTCTAAACATATGAACTAACTTTCAATTAAACTTGCATTTTTCTTGATTAATCTTGAGGTCCATAAGTTTTGAGAAAGATTCTTCAAATTTATGAAGTTAAAGAGGAGAATTCTTACCTAACATGAGTGAATTGCGAAGAGTAGAGGAAAATTACAATGTCTTCTTTAATTTCTTCTTCTTGGCCCCTTTTTCTTCTCTTTCTTTCTTATTTGTTGAACTCTCTCCCTCAAATTCTTTCCCTCCTCTCTCTACATGTATGCACCAGAGTTACCAAGGCCCACTACACCTCTTATCTTAATTTATTCCATTTAATCAACTTGGTGAGCATGAAATAAAACCTTGGGCTTAAATTAATCAAATTAGACTACTAAATTAAGTATATCACCTAAGGCTAAGAAATTAATTAAAATCAATTTGACATTACTTGGATTAATCTCACCATCTTATGATCTTTAATTACACTAAATTAAATTATGCCAAGGTGAATTAGGCCCTAATTCCCTATCCAATCTCTTAATTATAATTTATTAAAATTAGCGAATCAGACAGGTTAAATTCGTTCTTCTACGTATCTGTTCACAATAACACTACAATACCCATCAATGCAAATATATATATATATATATATATATCACATGGCACATTATTCTCATAACACATAATCACAAAATTAATAATAAGCAGATAATTAACTTAATTAATCGCTTAATTAAGGAGGTGGGTGTCACAGTTGTACACACATATGACATAGATGGGTTCACAAAAAGCTTACTGATAGTTCTTTTTCTTGCACTTGAAATAGACACCAGTGGTTGCAGTTACCCTTTTTCAAGCAAGCTCTGCAACACTGTAAGAAATAATGTATTCATGACGCAAAACATATTATTAACAATACAAATATATTTGTTTGTGTGTGTGTGCATGCATGATATATATATATATAGAGAGAGAGAGAGAGAGCGCGAGAGAGAGAGAAAGAGAGATCCCTATATTTCATCAATCCATTAAAGTCTATATGCTCCTTTTTCAGGTTTAATGTTGATATACTTCAGTTATATTGATAAAGTGAAGCTTAGAACGTGTTTTTGCACTCATTATTTTAAGAAAGACAATGCTCTAAACAAGATCAAACTTTGAAAAACATAGTGAGGTTTTGAAATTAGTTAATCAAATTCATTATTTGAGTTAAAATGGTACCTAACTTATAGAAGACATACTTAATATGATTAAAATATAAAACATACCTTTTGATTTCTAATAGATAAATTCTCTAGAGGCTCTAGAGGTGGTGGTGATATTGGATAAGCAAGTGAACTACCTCCTCCAAGGAGATCTTTGAATATCGATTTGAACTGTATTTGGGCAAAAGGATGTCAATGTAACTCATTAATACTTTAGAGACACATAAACAAGAAACTGAGTGAGACCACCAAGCTAAGTGATGATCACAATGTACTACAAAGGTACTTTAAGTTTGCTCACCTCAAGGAACTTGTTTTGGAGTTGTGCCTCCAAACGATGTAAACATGATGTTGCCAAATAACTTACCCGGATCCTGTAAAATAACTACTTCAACTCTAGCTATTGTTCAATTTTTTTAATGTGAAATAAAAGGAAAGTTTGTGTATCAATATGATTGACAATTACCAGATTGCCATTACGAAAGGAAGCAATAAAATTATTATCTTTGTTTTCCTTTTCGTTAATCATACATTCAACAATGGCCTTGGCAATCAAATCTGCAAATCAAATGGATGAAAAAAAGTAAGTCTAATAATAATAATAATAATCCAAACCAGAAAGGTATATGTATATCTGCAGGCTGCTACATGTGCAAGTGGCAACTTCAAATATGACTTCATTGAGTAAAATAATAATTTTATATTATTCCTATGATAAAAATTATCCACATAAATTAGTTTATAGACTATAGCAAATAAAAATATTATACCAGTATCAGACTAAGAAAGACTCGACAAATTATGGTTAATTGTTTCAGGCTTTGGAGTTTCAATTGACAAACATAGAATTAATTATAATCCTTGCCGAAATATTTAAATCACTATCTGAGACAAATATTTAATGTACTTCGAATAATATGAATTCAGCTATGTAAGACAATTCGTTACCACCTTTCCTTAATTGATTATGCATAACAAGCTCCATTAAATCTAGTAATCATCATTTGGAGTAATACTTAAATATTTCCTATATATGAGTGACAAATGCCTTATGCTAGTATGCATATGTACCGAAACATAGGAAAGAAAAATCTTTAAAACCTTCAAGTTTCTGAGTTCCACTCTTGGTGAGCGGAATATTGTTACAGGCTTTGGACATGTCTAATTGTCGGCAAGGGTCTAAGGAGATTGCTTCCGAAGCTCGTGAGTAAACCCTATTTGCAGAATGCATAACCAGAGGAGATAGATACAAAAAGGCATTTTCTCCAATTGATTCCATTTGAATTCATATCTTTAAATTAAGTAATTGAAATGCTTTTGCATCTACTCTAATAATGCTTTGTGCGACCATGACCTTCTTGTCCAAAGTCATCCTAGGACAGTTCATGCTTCAAATATTTTGATTTATAGGCCGTATTATTTAGTTTGTCAATTATAAATATAAATTGCAAAAAAGAATGAATAATTTAAATTGTTTAAGATACCTGCATTACATGACTATAATTAGTAAACCTTGTTGCACTAGACATTGTATTTATTAATACATTTACTGCTAGATTTTCGTATTGCACTATTGTTCTATCAGGACAAATTAAACTTTCTTAATTGTTCCTTGTCTGATTTTGTTCTAAAATATTCATTTGGTATTATTTGATATTTCAATGTGACGTAGAGACAAGAGTTAAACATCATTATTTATTCTTTCCTCAGGAGATTTTGCTCCAAACTATTGATTCTACGAATCCACTTGATATTTGAATGCGGCATAGAGACACTACTAGACAAAGTTCTCTTAAGAATCTTATTGTTTCTTTTCTAACTTTTTCTTTTTTGGGGGAGAATGACAATCTAAATTCTCTAGAAAAAGCAATACGTATTTTTGAAATCAACTATTTTATTAGTGAGAGTTATTGCATAAATATTTTGCACCATGACTGTAATTTGTGGGTAAAAGGTGGTCATGTCTCTCTTGCCCAACTTGCGAAAGAATGGCTTCTAAGCTTTTGTAAGATTCTTCAGATTCCATATTCTAGGAAAGTTTATAGTAAGGCATTAAAGGAAGCCAAGCAATTTCTTTGGGCTGATTCAGAAATGGATCTGGTGGGGTTCAAGTCTTTGATGTAACTCCTGGGCATGTTCTTAGTAGTTATTGTGCCTGAATAATTTATATTCGTCCACTTATTGATGTAGGAGCGAGACGTGACAAAGAACTTGGTTGACGCTCAAAATTAGGCTAAAGGTGTTAGAGATTGTCTTTCTGAATTGGAAAATAGGTCATATCATTGCAGCTGTGATACAGAAAAGTGCAATGAGAGCATGTTGACGATTTACTTGGCTTTAATCTAGTGTCTTGTAATCAGCCTGCACTTCTTAAATTGAAGGTGTGATATGAGATGTGGTTTTTGTTTCTGATGTGCATGTGTTTAGTTTACAAATCTAACTTTTACAGTTGTTTAATTTTTTGTGTATAGGATTACGAAAATGAAGCTAGAGATTTGAGCCAGGAAATTAATTCCACCCTTTCAACGTGCTCAAAAGTTTCTGTAAATAATTTCTCACACTTGATGCTCTTTTTTTGAACTTGTTTTTTCTAATTACGAGGAACTAGTTTTTTTGGCTAATTAGAAAAGATTATTTGGTCACCGTTTTATTTATTATTATTATTTTTTCATTTTTGTTCTATTTGGTCAATTTTGTTCTAATCTTTGATTGTATTTTCTACAGGTTGCTGATTGGGAAATGTTATGCACCAGAGTTTGTGACTTGCCAATATATATCAATGAAAGTGGGAAGTTAGGATAGAGGTTAAACCAAACAAAGCCTTAATTTCTCTTATTTTTTGTGGGCATTTTCTAAGCTTCTAATTTTAATAAAATTTGTTTCATTTACAGATCCATTTCTACATCCTGATAAAGTATGTTGTTCAAAGAAGTTGCCTTCATTCCTAGAGGTAATAGTCTTTTATTTCCCCTCGATCAAAATTTGTTAATGTTTTTTTATTTAAATTTTAATTGTTTTTTGGGTGTCATACATGATAGATGGGTTGTTTGTGTGAAGGAACTCATGTTGATTTCTTTACTAGTGACAATAAATTTTTATAGAGTATATTAGTGGCAATAGTTTTTTTAATGTATCATGTTAAGCCTTTTTATTGTTACTGTATTTTCCTTCTAAGTACTATATTTTCTGTTTTGGGTTTTGTTCACCACACCTTCATTTTTCCACAATATTAGTCTTCTTTCTCATAAATCATAAGTATTGAGATACAGTTGGTCCTTTTCAAATTATAACTATAGTTTCAGCTTGTTATTTTTCTCATCTTATTACATAACATCAAAATGGAACCAAATTTGGGAAAGACTCCAACCTTGGATAATTACTCAGTGGTATATTTCTTGTACATTTTTTAAAGCTCTTGATAAATTCTGTTTGATATTTCATATATTCTTTTTTCTTGCATTTTCTTTAATGTTTTGGCCTTAAAAAGTGCAGCGATTCAAGCGGTTTTGAGCAGTGACAAAAGAGACGATAGCCTCTTCAGCTGGCAGTAGGGGAGTTTTATACAAAAAATTAAATGAAGTGGCTTTAGCCTATAGTGGTGGTTTAGATACCCTAGTCACTGTCCCATGGCTAAGGTAGGCCTAAATTTTTTGTCAAGGCATGTTTACTCTTGTGTTGTGTCTGAAAATATATCTTTATTTGCAAGCACTTACATGTTACAGACATCCTATTTTCCAAAGAACAACTACAATTCTAAGTAGTGTGGTATATTCAATCTTAAACTGGTGTTGATTTCTATTTGTTAGATGGGACAAGAAAAGCACATGACATATTCTGGTGTAACATTTCAGTTTAATGTCGAGTTTAGGTTGTAACTTTATGGAGAGAGTGTCGGCTGCATATTCTTCAGTTCCATGGTACAAATAGCATTTTTTTTCCAGCTCATGTTCGTGCCTGTTATATGTTCTATAATTTTTCTTTTACTTACTCATAGTGCTTCTAGTATTTTGGAGCATTGACTACATATCCTTTTAAATAATTATATTCTCTGTTTGTGTAATGTTGTATCATTTTGTGCACAACATCAAACTAGTTAGATCTTTTCTTTAAGAAATGTGTCTGTTTTTATAGAATGAATGTCTTTGGAGAGATTTGAAAGGGCAGGTACATTCTCAACTAAATTCATACACACATATCTCACCTCCTCTGTCTTGCTGTCCTAAAATATTCATAGCAATTAGATCATGTCTCCAAGTTATCAAATGATCAAACGGTTGGGATTATTTTGAGGCAGAACAACAAAAGGGTTCTTCGTCCATCAAGGAAGAGATATGACATGTGTGAAAAGGACTACAATTCAAGCAATGATGTATTTGTCTATCAATATGTAGGAAACAATAGAAAGAACCACATGAAGGAGATACATCAACTTGTGGTTGTGCACTAGGTCAAACTTGTTGGATCATTCTTCAACAATGGTCTCCAATTTAGGAACATTGGATGAAGGTTTTTGGGGAGAGATGAAAAGAGATGGGCAGCCTTCTTGTGTTGAGTTGGGTGAAGTAGTGAAGGTTAGGGTGGTTTTATGGGCTAACTCATTTTTGGGTGAAGTAGTGAAGGTTAGGGTGATTGTGTGATCTCATTAAAGTGAGATTGGCTATTTGGTATCCTTGTGTGATGCAAAGCAGCCATAGCAACCAATCATAGCCAAGGCCACAACAGTCAAGGCAGTGAAAACTAGCTAGCTGCAGCCAAGGCCATAGTGATACGGTAGAGCAGCCACAGCAGCCAGTTGCAGCCAAGGCCACAGCAGTCAAGGCCACAGTAGCCAGCTGCAGCCAAGGCCATAGTCCAGCAACCAAGGCCACACCTCAGCAGCTAGTAGCTGCAGCCAAGGCTGCAGCTCAGAACAGACAGAGCTGCTAATGCTACAGTAGCTGCAGCATCAGCTGCAGCCCTCTCTCATCAACTGAAGTCTCTCTCTCATTTCAAGCACGTGTGAATTGCAAAGCAAGTTGCAAATTAGCTGTTAGTTTGTTAAAGGTTAACTATATGGTTTAGTTAGACAGTTATAGTCAAGTTAGGTAGTTATGGTTATGGTTCATTGTTTTTCCCTCAACAATTTTAGCTTCTTTTTTCTATTGACAAATTCGCAGCTGGGGTTCTTCTCTCTCTTTGCCCTATAAATTGCAATTTATGTGCCCTAATTGATTTTTCCTTGCCAAATGCATTTTTGTTCTTTCCAGATTTCTATTTTAGTGTTAATTCCTCTATTAGTTTCATCCACTAGATCTGTCAATTCAGTTCTGGATTGAAAATCTGGAAAATATTTCAGAAATGAAAGTTTAGTACTGGCAATTATGGTGGCATTTTACTTTGGTTCTTTGGGCTTGAGGAAAGGCCTGAGTTTTGCGTGAGATTTAGGTATTCAGGTGTTTATGCTTTAGGTTGGAACAAATGCTCTAGGTGTATCTTAGATCTTGAAAATGGATCCTCAGGAATTTGGTGAAATAAAGCATTGCTCAATATATGTACTCTGCCTAATTATAAGGTTGTTTAATTATCATATAATCTCATATGATTGGATGATTCGGCCAAAGTCAGAGGCTATTTGTAAATGTTGCCCTGAAATGTTTCACAAAATAAAACACAGTGGGTCATTATTGCCTTGAGGTACATTTAAGAGGCTCTTAATGAGTTCAAGATAATGAACTTTTACTAATTAGAACAAGTCTTTTATTCCTGCATCTCAGATTAGCTGGAATTATTAATTATGATTGCATATATCTCCATACTCAAATATTTCATGTATTTACATCTTCTCGATTGTTGTTATTATTCCTTTGATAGGTTGAAATTCCCTAATGATGACTGCATGTTCTTGCATTTGCATATACATTTGTCTCCTATATTATTGTCATACCCATGATAGGTTCATTGATTTTCTGCAGGTGAGGTTAATACATCCCTTTTGGAGTGGTGGAGCCACTAATACTATTACATAATTATGGCGGTCGGTTTTTAGAAACACTAAGAGGATGTGGTTTGTAGATTATAAATGGTATAGATGAAGCAACCATGTTATTTATGAATATTGTTAGTTTTTTCAAGTGGCATACTTTTTAGGGTTGAATTATTAGAGAAAAGGCATATAATATCAGGAAGTAGGCTATAAGGTTCAAAAGTCAATGAAATTAGTAATAGCTTGTGATTGAATTAGATACTAGTGAAAAATTAGAGAAGAAAAAAAAGATTAGTGTAGGGATTATTCCTATAGTTCCTTATCTTATGTATTTGCTACTAAGTACTCAGACAGAATGATATCACATTGTCCCAAAAAGCGCCTAAAGCTACTAAAACTTACCTAAATTTCTTCTATAATGGATTGAAAGTTTCTTTTTAAACTTGTAAGTAATATAGACTCTAATTTGACTTGGACTCTTTATTTTGAAACTTACAATGGTAAGGGATAAAACCTATACAAACCTAAACCTCATACATAGAGATCTTTTAACATAATTATGCAAGTCCCAAATAGATGCTGCATTGAAGTAGATTAATTCCACCTCTTCCTCTTTTTAAATTTAATTTTTCTCTTAAGCTTCCTATGGCCTAGATAGTAGCAAACTATATTTTCCTGTACAAACTTAATGGTTTGTTTGAAGATTCCTATTCATTTCCCTCTAGAAACATTGCAACAAAAGAGGTAACTTCATTAGAGGTAATTTCATTTGAGGTATGAAAAAAAAAAGGTTTTGCTTTATGTGGATTTTATTTGTATATTCGTTGAGACTGTTGGGATATTGAATTTTTGCTAATTTTTCATTATGACATTGCTTTTATGGGGCCATTGAATTATCTTATTAATTTTGGAAATGTTTTGTTGATATTTTAAAATTTCTTGATCATTTCTTAATACCTCAAGAAATATTTTTTTCACTGAGTCTTTGGTTTTTGTACTTATGTGAAGTTTCCTTTGTCATGCAGACAAGAAATACAACAGGGTTAGTTGCTCCAGCTATTGTCGCGGGTTTAGGTGCCTTAACACATACATTGGGCACCCTCGTCCCTGCGATAGGAGCAAGTGGATTTGCTATAGCTGCAACTGTTATAGGAACTGTTGTCAGTAGTTTTAGATAATCTCTTAATAGTTGTCGATATGTTTAGAAAGTTAGATATGCATAGTTTTTTATGGTTTAAACTTTTTATACAGTTTAGAACTTAAGGATATAGTTTTCGAATGTATAGACAATTGTTGAATGTTTATAATTTATGGATATAGTTTCTTTTTGATGTTTCAAATAATATTTTGGTGGTTGATTGATGTTTTGTGATGCTTGTTTGTAATATTAGTTAGATTGTACAAAATTAGCCAAATAGAACCTGTTGAATTTAAAAATAAAATATAATAAAAAAAACTGCATATTCTACGATAAGCATAATAAGTCGTCGTATTACATATTTTACGGCGTGCAATCAGCGTTGTTATTTGTCTCACCAATTAACGGCGTGCAATAGTAGTCATAGAAAAAATAACGACACACAAAATCTGCCGTTGAATAATTTTTAACGGCATATTATGGCATGTCGTAAAAAAAGTAACGACGGCGCGCAAAATTTGCCGTTAAATAGTTTTTAACGGCGTACAAAGCATGTCGTTGAAAGTGAATGACTTTTCATGACTGGTCATAATATGACGCGCGCTTGCACGTCGTAGAAGGGTTTTCACGGCGTGCATTGCGCGCTGTAAAAATCCTTTTTTGTTGTAGTGATGTGTGATGGATTTTTTTTGACATTATTTTATCATTTTTATTGATGAATTTGTTTTTGTCTCTGTTGGTAGATTCTTTGACAAAAAATTTTCGTCTTCATTTATATTAAACGTGACAAAATTATTTCGTCTCTATTTCTTATATTTATGACAAAATACTTTTGTCTCTAATTTCTCCTTTAATGACAAAATATTTTGTCGCTAATTACTTAAAAGTATGTTTCCAACAAAGTGTATTGGAGACAAAAAAATTCGTCACAAATTTATCATTTTTAATGATGAATTTGTTTTTATCTATTGGTAGCTTCTTTGACAAAAAAATTTCGTCTTCGTTTATATTAAACGTGAAA